GATGGGTGGATGAATTTATGATGGCACAATGACACAGCACAAGTCTGCAGAGCCCCATGGTGGGTGCTTGGGCATTCACACCATCATTTTCCTCAACTAAATGTGACTCTAATCAATTTTTTCTCACTGAAATGGCATTTTACACAGGAAGCTGCCAACTGCCAATTTACACCTGTGTCATTTGAAATCTGATAAGCATTTTCTTCTTTTGGCAGCACCTAAACATTAAAATTGGATTCTAGCTTCTAACCATTAATTTTGAATCAAAAAGTATGGTATCCTTGGGGTGCAGAAGATTCAGCTCTCATATAGAGCCTACCAAAACCTAAAATACATTAGACTGTATGTTTTATTTTGTAGCTTAATAAACTGAACTGTAGCCAGGTATGGTGGCACACACCTGTAATCCCAGCACTCAGGAGGAGGTTGATGCAGGTGGATCACACGTTTAAGGTTAGCCTGAACTGCACAGCAAGACCTTATCTCTAAAATAAATAAGTAAAGCTAGTTTGTTAAATTTTACAATTATTTACTTAGAATAAATCATAAACAAAAACTACACCCTTTTTGAGTAAAGAATAAATATTTGTGCCACTACAAAAAATTTGTATTTTTTCATAAACCTGGTTGAGATGACTGTTTTCATCATGATTGTCCTATATCTATTTGATCCCAAAGATCCAATTGAACTCTGGAAACATTTGGTCAATTAGCCTGTTGATTTTTTTCTGGTACTAGGGATCGGAATCAGGACCTTGTGCTTGCCAGGCAGATGAAGTGCACTGAGCTAAATTCCCAGACCTAACCATTGATTTTTACATAAAGTGAACATCCCTCCACCAGATAAACATAGTAGATCTGACATTCTGATGTGGCATAGAGCAGCTTATGTAAAAACAATGCACATCAACTTCTCAGTCCCTTGGTTCTATTTCAGGAGGTTTATGGCAAAGAGAACTGGGCATTGGTTCTAATGAATCGTAAATGCTTCCCCCGTTTTCTTTGGCCCAAGATAAATTGCCAGCTTTATGCATTTAACCAAGCAAATGAGATACTGAAGGTATTATAATCTGACCTTTCTAATACCAGTTGATGAATCATTTCTAAACTAACTACCCAAGAAGGCAAACCAAACACTAAAAAAGTCTAAAATGGGGCAAATCATCATTGGTTTTAAAATGGTTACCTTGAAAAACATGTTATTCTGTGAAGAGATTTTTTCCCCATTAAATTTATTGGTACATTTTAGGTATACAACAGAGTTACATTCCACATTGGGAACTTGTAATTTTACACAATGTATCTTGGTTCTAATTTCCACCCACCCCCGTACCCCTGCCCTCCCTTATTCCCCAACCCCCATACTCCCTCCATCCTTCCCTATTTACAAAGACTTTGTTTCCATTTTTTCCCTTTCTCATATTTTTTTCCTTTCTCATATTTTTTTCCTTCCCCTTCTTTCCTTTCCCCTACCCCTCCCATTTTCCCTACTCCATTTAGACCTTTTCTTCCTATTCTGTGAAGAAAATTTTTTCCACTTGTACAAATTTGATTTAGAAAATAACTCAGCATGTATGGAGCAAGGGGAAGGGGTTGTGTGCACAAATCTATAATGGCGATTTTGAGTTGTATCCCTCAGTACCAAGAAGAGATGAAGCTATGTGACAGGAATAGGCAAGGTATTTTCTAGTCCCAGTCCCTCTAGTCAATGCCTGAACTACTAGAAAAAAGTATTGAAACAACTGCCAGAACAACAGAAATGTCTATTTTCACCCAGAATATTTTTTGGTTTTTTCCAATAGGTCTCTGTTAAATAAGGGGAAAAAAAATGGTTTTCTTCTCAAACTTTGGAGGTCTACTTACAGGTGAATAATGCCTGTGGAGAAGCCTTTTTTCATTAACATTGTTTATAAACCTGCCCTTCTTATACCTGCTGACTTTAGATGAAGCTGTTGCTTCCCAATCAATGTCTGTAACTTAGCAGTTTTCTTTAAAATTTTTATTTAATGTCAGAGTATTATTTGATGTGATAGCTAAATTTGGTTATGTAGTGTTTGCAATAGTGTGATGACTTCCAGTTGGTCAATTTATCATGACTGGTTTTTTGTTTTTTAAAATTGCTCTCCACCAAACACATCCAAAGTTTCCCCAATATTTGAATGTAGTACTATGGAAACACTAAAGGACCACCATAGACAGGGAGTCTGAGAAACTGTAATAGCCACGCTAAGCCAAGGAGACAAGATAACTAAATGCAATGTGGTGTCACGGAAGGCATACCTAGAAAACGACATTCAACATTTGGGAAAGATTGAGGAGATCTGAATGAAGGGCTTTCATGTATCAGTGTTGGTTCATTAATTGTAATAAATGTATCAAGCTAATGTAAGATGCTGCTCATTGGGGAAGCTGGATGTGGGATGTAAGTGAACTCTGTTCCATCTCCAAATGTTTCTGTTCTGGCAATAAAAGTTATTTATTATGAAACAAAATACTAAAAGCATTACATGAACATTGGTTGTTTTAACTTTTTATTCTTTATGTTTGTTTTTTCTGCTTTCCAGACCACTTGTTTTTCTAACAGTGGGGAGGGGTGAGTGGTCACCCCACAGCGGGGTCCTTGCCAGCCACTGAACACCCAACACGTCAGACAACTGTGCTCTCACTAAGTGTCAATATGATTGCATCTTTCTAGTTTTATTGTAGAAGAAAAGATGCTGTCTGGCATCTTTTAGTTGTTTCTTCTCACCTTCCTCTCTAAAAGCAAGTTTTCCTGGGCTCTGGATGTAGCTCAGCGGCACAGCACCCACCTAGCAAGTGTGAGGTCCTGCGTTTGATCCAAAACAAACATAAAAACATGCTTTCCTTTAAGAAAAAGGAAAGCACATAAGTGCTCTTCTGAATGTCCCTTATGGTGACAGCTTACCTCACCACAGCCTGAGAAGTGAGAGCAAGTCCCTGAAATGAAGTGCCTTAGGCTGCTTAAGTGTCCTCCACACTGCGATTACCTTTCCCCAGAGTGAGCAATCCCAGGTGAGGGCTAGAGAGGTGCCTCACTGGCTGCTAGAACTTTGTCTCTGAAACTGCACATCACCTCTCCTTCATTCTACTCTTTTTGAAAGGGATCATGTAGGGCGTGGGGGCACATGCCTGTAATCTCAGCACCTGGGAAGCTGAAGCAAGAGGATCATCCTGAGTTTGAGGCCAGACTAAACTATATAGTTAAGACAAACAAAAAAATCGCCATGTGGATTCCACCCTTAAGAGGACAATTAGGTTGCACACAAGGAATGACAAGTATTAATTTTGTGGTGTCTCCATTCCCAGGGACCATCATCTTCTGGTGGGCCAGTAGGATTAGTCTTTGGTGTTTCTTCACCACACCACCTAAAGCTGTTCCCGGGGGTAGCCTGGCCCTTTCAGAGGCAGTGTGGGCCCTCAACACACTTTTTATTCTTGTCCCTTCTTCTTAGCTGTGAGAGAAGTGAGTGTCTATTCCATGTAAAAGGCAGTCTGCACTAGCAAACCCTCCCAACTCCACAGTGCAGAGAAGATTTTTAAACCAGAAAATGGGAGCACAGTGTGTGAATAGCATTTGAAGTTTGTGCTGCCCCAAACATCTGGGGCTCAAGGTTGTTCCACCCCCATATTCTAGGGAAGCACTTTTGAAATGATAGTGTCCTCTGGCTTGGTAGCTAATTCCATATAATGCATAGAGGAGTCTGAGGAAGGAGTAGATGGCCAGCCTCCTACCCACCACGGTGACGGGGGAGAGATGGCAGAGACTGGCAGTGGGTGCAGACCTATCAAGATGCTGTTCAGTAGGGAGGTGAGAGCGGGAGGGCAGAAGCCACACAGCAAGCTGGTGAACCCATCAGGGCTCTTAGCACGTAACAAACACTAACTAGATTTATGCGAGCAGAGAAGAATTTAGGGCAAGGATATGGGGCAGTCACAGAATTTCTGGGGATGCTAGTGAGCCAGCTTTTTTAAGTGGGCAAAATTAAGGCAGGCTTTTTGGCTGGAGTCCAAATCATGCTGTAGAGAAACATTGTGATCATACTATGGACCCAGAGACAGCACGATACGACATGGGCTCTGTGACCACCACAGCCAGCACTCAGAACACCAGGTAGTGCAGATGGCATCCCCTCGCTTCTTAATGTCACTTGCTCCCAGAGTCCTTCTGATTGGCCAAGTGGAGAAGGCCTGTGGCTTGCAGGAGAGGCTGACACAGCATGTCTTCCCAGCTCCGATCCTGGGAGGCAGGCTCAGCCTCCTGTCAAGAAGCAGAAGGCGAGGACCTTCAAACCCAGGTGGAAGACCCAGGTTCAGGCACCTCAAATCCTCTGGTCTACTCCAGACTATGAGAAACTGAGGGGGCAAGGTCACTCTTGAAAGAAGTTTGGAAAGGAAAGGCAAGAGAGTAATCAACTAAAGGAGCAGCCAAAGCTAAGGATCTTTTCTCACTTTTGGCAAAATTAAGGGGACTGAGCAGTTTAACAGAGGGTGTTACAGTTTAGATCAAGTATATCTTCCAAGAGCCTCATGCACTCAGAGGAGGGGCTTTTGGAAGAGTTAGACAATGGGGGCACTGTAACTGACTTGCTCTTAGGAGATGGCGGGGAGGGAGCAGGTCACTAGAGGTGTGACCTGGATGGGTGCATCTCTCTCCTGCCCCACCCTCTCTTCTCTACTTCCTGGTCATCCGTCAGGCAGGGAGCAGCTTTCCTCTGCCCAGGCCCTTCTGCCATGTGGTTTCTATGTTTAAGCCTGAGAACATGGACTAACACTTCTGAACTGTGAGACAAAGTAAACCTGCGCTCCTTTACGTTACAGGTGCCAGGTATGTGTCCCAGTGCTGAGGAAAGTGATTAAGACAGAGGGGAAGAAACAAGGAATCCTTCTACCAAACAAGCTGACACTCATTCTGACTTCTGTGGCAAGACAGAAGTGTTCAGGGACAGACCACTGTAGACACTGACCTCTGTTCTGAAATAAAAGAACTTGAAGCATTCCTCCTTGGAAAGTGTCAGTTGGCTATGGCCTTTAATTAACATCTGAATAGATAACATATCTTCTATAATTACAATATAGAAATCTCTATGAACAAAAACAGACAATTCTTTTGGGGGAGGAATGCCATAGGTGAAGCCCCAGGTCTTTAGGCAGCAGCATCTACAACGCCAGGGCAGGTCAGTGCTTGGGGACGGAGGTAAATATCCGTAGTCCGTGCATTCCTTTAATTTCTTCTTTTAATGCCTGAGTAAGTAAAAGAGCATCATCTTTTTTTGTATATTTGACAATGATTACAGAGTACAGTACAATTTGATTCACAAACAAAAGTAGTCAGACAATTTTGCTTCTGTTTACACTCTCCAATCAGGTGACAAACATGACCGCGGGCATCTTCCCCACACAGATACACACAGCCTTCTTCCCCCAAACTGTAAAACAAATTAAGTTCATAAACTGAGGTACCACTGTATTTTTATAAAGCTCTGTATCTGGAGATTTTTTACATGCTTTGTTTCAGCAATTTTTCATTTATAAATTTTTGTTTAAATCAATATCTAAGGCAGAGATGCATGCCTATATTCCCAGCACTGGGAGGCTGAAGCAGGAGGAGCACTTGAGCTTAGGAGTTCAAAGCCAGCCTGGGCAATATAGTGAGGCTCTGTCTCAAAACACAAGACAAACAAACTAAAATCTAGCATGGCTTAAAAACTAGAAGGTATAAAAAGGCATACAGAGAAATCTCTCCCTACAGATATCCTCTATCTCAGTTTCTGCATCCATTTCCAGAGAGCTATTACTATTTGTTTCTTGTGGATTGTTGCAGGGCTTTAAAAAGGCATATTCAGGGCCAAGGATTTCGCTCAGTGGTTCGGCTGTCTGCCTCGCAAGCTCAAGGACCCAAGTTCAATCCCCAGTAACAAAAAAAAAAAAAAAAAAAAAAAAAAAAA